CAAGTAGAGTGACTGTCTAGATTTTCAACAGTACTGGGGTAATTCATCTACATGTAACATCTTGTTCTAGAGGTATGGTGTGCACTCCACTAAACCAGTATCCACACAGGAAAATACTAGCTTAGCAAGGGAGGCCTTTCTGAGAGCTCGTGCTAATTAGGTATTATCTGTATGGTAAAGCAATCACAACATGCTCTTGGATATCTAGGTCGACTTCCCCGACAAGTTGTTACTAAATGAATTTATAAGCAAAAGTTGTTATCATTTTCAAAATGTTCTATTAATAAAAATACTGGAACCAGCAAGAGATAAGAGAGTGGGAACAGGAGTGCAACTAGATCCAAGTGAGAGAATCTGAACGATCAGATAAGAAAAAAAGAGAAGAAGCCTCAGAAAGAAAGTAGAGCAAAATGAAAGCGGGGCGGGGGGAAGCAAGAGGAGAGCAATGTCTTCAAAGAGGCGAGTGGCGGCATAATTGCCACCAAGAAGACTGTTGGAAGTTCTGGGGAAGAAAAAACAGGTGTGACAAGTACTATAGGGCTGGGCCAAATGCTTTTATTTCTCAAAAATGTTCAAAACAAGACTATACACGAAACATTAAAAGATAACTCTCGCTTAGGCAGAGGGTATTAGAAGATAATTCAGCTGTTTCTTACTTTGTCTAATGTAGTTTTTTTTGATTCTGAATTAAAAAGGGTTTTGGTTTTTCAATGTGATTTTTACTAGTAACAGGTAAGGAAATTGGGGCCTCCTTCTTATCTAGCTGAAGCTGTTTCTATGAGATCTGCCATGTTTTTGTGTGTGTGGTTTTTTTTTAAGATTTATTTTTTATTTTATTTTTTAAAAGATTTTATTTATTTATTTGACAGAGAAAGATCACAAGTAGGCAGAGAGGCAGGAAGAGAGAGAGAGAGAGAAGCAGGCTCCCCGCCGAGGTAAGAGCCTGATGCGGGGCTCGATCCCAGGACCCCGAGACCACGACCCAAGCCAAAGGCAGAGGCCCAACCCACTGAGCCACCGAGGCGCTCCTAAGATTTTATTTATTTATTTGACAGACAGAGGTCATAAGTAGGCAGACAGGCAGGCAGGGCGTAGGGGAAGCTGAGCAGAGAGCCCAATGTAGGGCTTCCCCAATGTCCATAACTGCCCCCCCCCCCCGCACTGGCAACCCTCAGTTTGTTTTGCAAGATTAAGAATCTCTTATGGTTTGTCTCCCTCCCAATCCCATCTTGCTTCCATTTTCCTCCCCTCCCCCCAATCCCTAGGATCATGACCTGAGCAAAAGGGAGACGCTTAACTGACTGAGCCACCCAGGCATCCCAAGGATTTAAAAAAAATCTTTTTTTATCCTTTTTGGACAGTTTGTTTAACCATCCAAGATAATGAAATATTTACCCTAACTCTGAGGTGCTAAGTTGTAGCCTGGGCCAAAGACTGATATGATAATACAAACCAAAAAGGCACTTTCCATTTTTTTCTTTTTAAGATTTTAATTATTTATTTGACAGAAAGAGTGTGAGCAAAGGCAGGGAGAGCAGCCAGACTCCCCAGTGAGCAGGGAGCCTGATGTGGGACTTGATTTCAGAACCCTGGGACTGTAACTGGAGCCAAAGGCAGATGCCACGCAGGCATCCCAAAAAAGCACCTTTCCGAATGACTGTGTTATAGAGGCTGCTATTCCAAGTCAGGGGTTGGGGGAAGGAGACTGGAGTGGACCCTGGGATCCAGAGGCAGCAGCAAGAGTGAAGAACTCTGTGGGGAAAAGTTCTTCAAAGTCTCATTCCCCACTGAGCCGGGTACAGCTTGTTCTCTAACAAGCACATAAGCAGTTGGGTCACATTCTAAAGTGAAGACATTTAGACTTGGTTGAGTAGCTGTGACTGTTATAAGAGAACTTTATTTATATATTATACATATATAATTTCTATTTATATTAACATATAATGTATTATTTGCCCCAGGGGTACAGGTCTGCGAATCATCAGGCTTACACATTTCACAGCACTCACCATAGCATACACCCTCCCCAGTGTCCATAACCCAACCATCCTCTCCCTATCCCTCCTCCCCCACTGGAACCCTCAGTTTGTTTTGTGAGATTAAGAATCTCTTATGGTTTGTCTCCCTCCCAATCCCATCTTGTTTCATTTTTTCCTCCCCTACCCCCAATCCCCAGCCCTGCCTCTCACATTCCTCATATCAGAGATCATATGATAATTGTCTTTCTCTGATTGACTTATTTTGCTCAGTATGATACCCTTTAGTTCCATCCATGTCGTTGCAAATGGCAAGATTTCATTTCTTTTGATGGCTGCATAGTATTCCATTATGTGTGTGTGTGTGTGTGTGTGTGTGTGTGTGTATAGATACACACACACACACCCCACATCTTCTTTATCCATTCATCTGTTGATGGACATCTAGGTTCTTTACATAGTTTGGCTATTGTGGACATTGCTGCTATCAACATTCAGGTGCATGGGCCCCTTCAGGTCACTATATTTGTATCTTTAGGGTAAATACCCAGTGAGCCTACTGCTTTTCTAAAAGACTGAGTTATTTTATCAATTTGAGAGGAATTATTATTCCTCATTAGTTAATATAGTATATTAAAAATAAAAAAGAAAAAAAACCCACATATTCATTACCTCTTGCTATGGAAAGCAATTTTAAAGATTTTATTTATTTATTTGACAGAGAGAGATCACAAGTAGACAGAGAGGCAGGCAGAGAGAGAGAGAGAGGGAAGCAGGCTCCCTGCTGAGCAGAGAGCCCGATGCGGGACTCGTCCCAGGACCCTGAGATCATGACCTGAGCCGAAGGCAGCGGCTTAACCCACTGAGCCACCCAGGCGCCCCATGGAAAGCAATTTTAGATTAAATTATTTAAGATTAAGAGAACTTCACTACAATCAGAATACAATCATTCCTAATTTGCAGATGCAGGACACTGATAAATATTATTCTAGATGGTAATTAAATTTCATTATAATAAAGACATTTTTTTTTACTTCAGTGGAACTTTTTTTTTTTTTTTTAAAGATTTTATTTACTTATCCAACAGAGAGAGGTCACAAGCAGGCAGAGAGAGGAGGAAGCAGGCTCCCTGCTGAGCAGAGAGCCCTATGCGGGGCTCGATCCCAGGACCCTGAGATCATGACCCGAGCCGAAGGCAGCGGCTTAACCCACTGAGCCACCCAGGCGCCCCAACTTCAGTGGAACTTTAAAACAAAATTAAGTACACTGTTAAAAATATTTTCCTGGGATACCTGAGTGGTTCAGTCACATAAGCGTTTGACTAAATCTTAGCTTGGGTTCTGATCTCAGAGCTGAGTTCAAGCCCCATGCTGGACGTGTGTGTGTGTGTGTGTGTGTGTGTGTGTGTGTGTGTCTCTCTCTCTCTCTCTCTCTCTCTCTCTCTCCCCGTCCCACTCCACCCCCAAGACTTCAGGGTATGAGATTCAAAAGAAAGGTGGTATCTAGCCTCTTTCCAGGAAATTACTCTGCTCAGCAGGGAGCCTGCTTCCTCTTCTCTCTCTGCCTGCCTCTCTGCCTACTTGTGACCTCTGTCTGTCAAATGAATAAATAAAATATTTAAAAATAAATAAATAAATAAAATAATCAAATGAGGAACACATAGGAGGGCTTCAAAGACCTTTCCCTTCATCCCTCTCTTCCATTAAGGTTCTAGAGCTTTTAGGGCCTTGTTTGGTGGTGCACAGTTTGGGAAAGTCACCTTGGTTTAAACAATGAACAGCTGAATTTTCCTCCTAAAAAATTACCACCATCACCCTGAGGCTGTTGATTCAATCTGTCCAAAGAAAGCTTCTTGTCTTTCTAAATTATTTCCCACTAACACCACTAACATATGGCATTCTGGTTTTTGTGTGTGTGTTTTTTTTTTCAATAATTTTATTTATTTATTTATTTATTTAATTTATAGCTTTTTATTTATTTATTTATTTGACAGAGATCACAAGTAGGCAGAGAGAGAGGAAGGGAAGCAGGCTCCCTGCTGAGCAAAAAGCCCGATGCAGGGCTCGATCCCAGGACCCTGGGATCATGACCTGAGCCGAAGGCAGAGGCTTTAACCCACTGAGCCACCCAGGCGCCCCTTATTTATTTATTTTTTAAGCCACAGTGAATATGGGGCTTCAACTCAGGACCCTAACATCAAGAGTTGCATGTTCCACTGACTAAGACAGCCAGCCACCCCAACATAAGGCATTCTCTCTCTCTCTTTTTTTTTAAAGATTTCATTATTTATTTGAGAGAGAGTACTTGCATATGAGTGGGGAGGGGGCGGAGGGAGAGAATCTTCATGCAGACCCCTTGCTGACCACAGAGCCCAGTAGGGGGCTTAATCTTAAGCCCTGAGATCATGACCTGAGGCAAAATCAAGAGTCCAGTGCTTAACTGACTGGCCACCCAGGCATCCCCAGAATTTCTTTTCTAGCATGAGAGTGGAATGAAAACAATGACAAAAAAAAGATAAAATAAAGAGATGAAGACTAACAGGTTGTGCTGCTTCTTTTGCAACAGGGCTGGAAACAAGTGACTAAACGATGGTGGCTAGTGCCATGCAGAGGGACCTACTAGGTAACAGACAGCAGAAGGAAACATAAAAATTCGAGAGCTTTCCTTATATAATTTTTTTGCCCCTAAGAAGTTCTGGTACATCTCAGGCATTAAGGTCTCAGTTTAAGGAAAAGAGGCTGTCAAGAGGGGCGCCTGGGTGGCTCAGTGGGTTGAGCCGCTGCCTTCGGCTCAGGTCATGATCTCGGGGTCCTGGGATCGAGCCCCGCATCGGGCTCTCTGCTCAGCAGGGAGCCTGCTTCCTCCTCTCTCTCTGCCTGCCTCTCTGCCTGCTTGTGATCTCTCTCTGTCAAATAAATAAATAAAATCTTAAAAAAAAAAAAAAAAAAAAGAGGCTGTCAAGAGTCACCAACTCAGGGCCCTCAAATACAACTCAGTCCCCGGGACGATGCCCTCCACACCCACCTCGTCATCACTGTTGGACGTCTCCGAGTCTGAGGAGGCTGCAGGCTGACTCACAGGCGGCTCCTTCTCCTCAGAGTCACTCCGCTTCCGCTTTGCCAGGGACAAGAGCTCCTAACAGGGCAGAAGCAGACACATGAGTTTTTTTCAACACAGAAAAAACATTCAAGAATAGCAAAATGCCCACCATCCCTAGGTCTCTTCTACCTCTTTGTGCTTTCAATCAAAAGACATCATCATGGGAACTTTTATCACACGAGTAGACAGGCTGCCAGTATTCCTAAGCACTAAAGAAATGTTTTCAAAATTTGTCCCTTTCTTCTTAACGGGAAATGTATGTCTCAAATGGGAAAATGACTGGAGAACTGAACTGGAGGTTATTCCCTAATTGCCATCATTTCCTCTATAAGCTACAGAAGTACTGATTCTTCGGAACTGATTTGAGAACCATATTTTCAAAGGTAATTTGCTCACTGTTCTTACTGGTATAGCTAACTAATGCTCCAAGCATCCTCTTAATGTAAATCATGGAGAAACTGGATTTGTGGGACTATACTGAATAAAGCTGACAAACTACAATTTTCTAAGATAATTATTTTTTAAGTGGGTTTCATACCCAACAAGGAGCCCAAAGCGGGGTTTGAACTCCTGACCCTGAGATCAAGACCTGATGTGAGATCAAGAGTCAGATGCTTAACCAACTGAGCCACCCAGGAGCCCTTCTAAGACCATCTTTTATTCTGAATGCTTGAACCACGGGGGGAAATAAGTATATCTTTGGTGTTTAAGATTTCATTTATTTATTTGACAGAGAGAGAGATCACAAGTAGGCAGAGAGGCAGGCGGGGGGCGGGGGGGAAGTAGGTTCCCTGCTGAGCAGAGAGCCCAATGTGGGGCTTGATCCCAGGACCCTGAGATCATGACCTGAGCCAAAGGCAGAGGCTTAACCCACTGAGCCACCCAGGCACCCCTATTTTTGGTGTTTAATCCAGAGCATGAAAACAGCAGTAAGTGTTCTGGCTTCTACATCAGTATCCTAATTGGACAACCCAAATGTTCCCACTCACGACTATGCCTTGTCCTGGTATTTATGACAGATTACAGGGGGAGGGATGTGCCACTAACTGTCATGGCTAGAACCAGACTTTGCTTTCACATGGTTCCTCTCTCCTCTTACTTCTCACCAACTCAGTCCAGTCACTCAAACATGCTACAAAAGGAAACTTCTCTAGTTCCTGCCCTCTGTAATATCAGTACCAGTTTGAAATTATACTGCCCTATCTAACATTTAATCTTTACGACAACCTGAAGGTAAGTATTGTCATCATCCCCATTTGAAGATGAAACTAAGCAGCAGGAAAGGTTAGAAACTTACTCAGGGTAACACAGCTAGTACATGAGAGAGCGAGAATTCAAACCAGGGCAGACAGAACCCTACCTTGTAATTCAGTCATGGTTTACCACTCTAAAACATTTTCCCTTCTGCCAACAAAGAGAAAAATACAACTAATAAATACTAGTAATGTTATTTATTGATGATGATGGTGCTATACAATTACAGGTCAAATGCCAAGATGGATTTTAAAGTAATAGAGTGCTATAAAGTATCTGTTTTCTTCTTCCAGTCTCTTTCTATTTTAGGAGTATACTCCCCTGGCCAGAATGAGAAAATGACCTTCTCAGATTAACAGCTGACCTGCTCTCTTCCTTCATAAGCAGTCAAGAAATGCTACTCTTCTCATTTCACTGAAGAGAGGTACCACACCAACTTCCTCAAAAGGCTGAAGATCATAAGAACACTCAACTTTTTCATTCCAAAATAGTAACTCCTATTGACCAAATGCAAATTACAGCAATAAGTACGTGTGTTTACTGTGTTTTAAAAACTTGAGGAGGCACCTGGCTGGGTTAGTCCATGCAGCATGGCTCTTAATCTTGTGGTTGTGGGCTTGAGTGCCCCCACTGGGTATAGAGATTAAAAATAAAATCTTAGGGCGCCTGGGTGGCTCAGTGGTTAAAGCCTCTGCCTTCGGCTCAGGTCGTGGTCTCAGGGTCCTGGGATCGAGTCCCGCATCGGGCTCTCTGCTCAGCGGGGAGCCTGCCTCCTCCTCCTCTCTCTCTCTGCCTGCCTCTCTGCCTACTTGTGATCTGTCTGTCAAATAAAAAAAAAAAATAAAATAAAAAAAAAAATAAAATCTTAAAAAAATAAAACAAAGGGGCGCCTGGGTGGCTCAGTGGGTTAAAACCTCTGCCTTCGGCTCGGGTCATGATCCCTGGGTCCTGGGATCGAGCCCCACATTGGGCTCTCTGCTCAGCGGGGGCCTGCTTCCTCTTCTCTCTCTGCCTGTCTCTCTGCCTACTTGTTATCTCTGTCTGTCAAATGAATATATAAAATCTTTAAAACAGGAACAAAAACAGGGGCAACTGAGTGGCTCAGTTGGTTATGCATCTGGCTGCAGCTCCGGTTATGATCTTGGGTCCCGGAACTGAGCCCTCCAATAGGCTCTGTGCTCAGTGGAGCATCTGCTTGTCCTTCTCCCTTGTCCCTCCCTCCACCCACGTGCGTAGGCACATGCCCACGCTCTCTCTCTCTGATAAATGAAATCTTTTTTTTTTTTTAAAGATTTTATTTATCGGGACCCAGGCATCCCGATAAATGAAATCTTTAAAAAACATAAATAAATAGGATGCCTGGGTGGCTCAGTCAGTTAAGCAGCTGTCCTCGGCTCAGGTCATGATCCTAAGGTCCTGGGATCAAGTCCCGCATCGGGCTCCTTGCTCTGCAGGGAGCCTGCTTCCCCCACTGCCTGCCACTCCCCCTGCCTGTGCTCACGCTCTCTGAGTAAATAAATAAATAATAAATAAAAATTGAAAAGTTAAAAAAAAAAACCAGGTGTAATTTACATATAGTACATTTTATCCTGTATTATGTATAAATTCTAAGAATTTGACAAATACATACAGTTTAACCATTCCCACAATCAAGATATAGGACAATTCTATCATCCCCACAAATATTGCTATAATTTGCATTTGGTCAAGAGGAGTTATTGTTTCGGTATTAAAAAAAAGTAGAATGTTCTCACGCTCTTTAGCCTTTCCAGGAAGTCAGTGCTCTTTATATCCCTCCTCCATCCTCCGACAACCACAGACCCGTTTTCTGCGCCTAAAGACAGATCTGCCTATTGCAGACCACATAAATAGAATCGTATAGTATGCAGCCTTTTGGTCTGGCTTCTTAGCATAATGCCTTTGAGATTCATCCAAGTGTCAGCACATATTGTAGTTTGTTCCGTTTTCTCGTTAAGTAGTATTCCATTGTGTGGATGTACCATACTTCACCAGCTGAAAAACATCTGGGTTGTTTCCATTTGGAGGCAATTACATCCTCATATGTAGGTTTTTATGTACATGTAGGATTTTTTTATTAAAGATTTATTTTATGGGTGACTCGGTTGGTTAAGCATCGAACTCTTGATTTCAGCTCAGGTCATGATCTCCAGGTTCTGGCTGGGACTAAGCCCGCATCAAGGTTCCTACTCAGAGTTTAGTCTGCTTCAACCTTTCCCTCTCTCTCTGCCCTTCCCCCCATGCTCGTGCTCTCTCCCCTAAATAAATTTCTTAAAAATCTTGGGGCGCCTGGGTGGCTCAGTCTTGGACATCTGCCTTTGGCTTGGGTTGTGGTCCCAGGGTCCTGGGATCGGCCCTGCATCGGGCTCCCTGCTCAGTGGGAAGCCTGCTTCTCCCTCTCCCACTCCCTCTCCCACTCCCTCTCTCACTGTCCCTCTGTGTCAAATAAATAAATAAAGGGGCACCTAGGTGGCTCAGTGGGCTAAGCCTCTGCCTTTGGCTCAGGTCATGACCTCAGGGTCCTGGGATCGAGCTCCTCATCAGGCGCTCTGCTCAGTGTAGAGCCTGCTTCCCTCCCGCTCTCTGCCTACTTGTGAACTCTCTCTCTGTGTGTCAAATAAATAAATAAATAAATAAAATCTTAATAAATAAATAAATAAAATCTTTTAAAAAAAAATCTATTTTAGAAAGAGAGTGCGTGTGGGCAAGATAACTTGAGTTGGGCAGGGGGTGGGTGGCCAGAGGGAGTAGGAGGGAAAAATCCTCATCCCTACTAAGCTTGGAGCCCAATGTGGACCTTGATCCCCAGACCCTGAGATCATGACCTGAGCCAAAATCGTGTCAGATGCTTAACTGCCTGAGCCACCACACAGGCACCCCTAAATATAATTTTTTTTAAAGATTTTATTTATTTATTTGACAGACAGAGATCACAAGTAGGCAGAGAGGCAGGCAGAGAGGAGGAAGCAGACTCCCTGCTGAGCAGAGAGCCTGATGTGGGGCTGGGTCCGGCATCGGGCTCAGTCCCTGGGATCATGACCTGAGTGAAGGCAGAGGCTTTAACCCACTGAGCCACCCAGGTGCCCCTAAATGTAAGTTTTTATTTCACTTGGGTAAATACCTAGAATTGGGATTGCTGGGTTACATGGTAATTGGCATATGGCCTTTACTGTTATCTTTTCCCCTACATTATCTTAATGCAAATTTATAAAATTTAGAAAGATTTCTGGTATGTAATCTCTTTCCTGACCCTTTGAGGTTCACAGATGCACTAGAAATCTATTTTAATACCAACTCATTTTAACAGGGATTTAGATAACTATCAATCAAATCCTATCCTGAAACATTAACTATTAGTAGACATTCATTAAAAGTTACTACAACTTAAGTGTTAAAATGTTAACATTGCCTTCCTGTTAAAGTTCCCCTCTATACTAAAAACCTAACAATGGCTCTCCTTCACCAATGAACAACTGCATCTGATAGACACAGACCTCCTACGACACAAATACCATATTAACCATAGTATGGTGACAGCAAAGAACTTTTTTTTTTTTTTAAGATTTTATTTATTTGTTTGACAGAGAGAGATTACAAATAGGCAGAGAGGCAGGCAGAGGGGCGGGGGAAGCAGGCTCCCTACTGAGCAGAGAGGCCACTGCGGGACTGGATCCCAGGACCCTGAGATCATGACCTGAGCCGAAGGCAGAGGCTTAACCCACTGAGCCACCCAGGTGCCCCAGCAAAGACCTTCTTAACAGTGT